GGTAGAGGGCCTGGTATGTAAGCATAAGGACCTGAGTTTGTATCCTTAGCACCCACATAGAACACTCAGCATCCAGAATCCCAGCACTGGTGGGGAGGAGACAGATGAATCCCTGGAGCTTGCTGGCCACCAGCCTAGCCTAAGTGGGAGCTCCCGTTTCAGTGAGAAACCACGTCTCAAGGAAGAAGATGGCACTCAGGAGGTAGAGGCAGGTGAATCTCTCTATAAGTTCAAGGCCAGCCTGGTTTACATAGTTCCAGGCAGACCAGGGCTACATAGTGAGACCCTGTCTCAAAAATAATAATAATAATAATAATAATAATAAGATGATGATGATGACGATGATGATGATGCCACACCCAAGATTAGGATTGGGTCAAAACACTCCTCCAGAGAAATTCCTTCCTTCCTGCTGAAGGAGGTTGTGGTCTTCATTGGTCTGTGCCTCTCTCTGTCCTCTGCTCTCTCCTCCTGAAACAGGCAAGAGGCTGGAGGCCATCAGCATGCTGACAGGGAACAGAACCAGGGAATATTAAGCAGTAAAGTTCCCAACTTGTGGGCTGAGGATGAGGTGGAGGAGTCTGAGGTTCTGGGGAAAGAAGATTGTTTCTAGGGATTTGGGAGGATAATGTAAAGGAGAGAGAGAGAGAGAGAGAGAGAGAGAGAGAGAGAGAGAGAGCGCGAGCTGGCAAAAATACGGGTGGTGGGGAGTGGCAGGACAGACGGCATATCCACCCAGGGCTTGATGGGGTGCTGACTCACATATGAAAAGATTCGTGGGAGCAGACTCAAGCATTGTGCACATGTGCTGGCAGAGCGACTCCAATGGAATAGATGTACCTATGGTAGGTGCCTACAAGTTTGGGGCAAGGGTTGGGGGCGTGCTTTATGGGATGTATCCAAGAATTGGGAAGTGGCAATTGTAGAAAGCTGTGCAGAGTCCCCAGAATAAAGCAAAGTTAGTTAAAGAAAAATAAAACAAATGGGTGGACCAACGAGGGGTCATCGCTAGTCTCCTCCATTCCTGACCACCCACGTGCCCACAAGCTCACACATTCCCACATAGCGGCGCCATGCCCTGGGGGGGGGGGGCAGATTCTTACCTTGGCCACGGGTGTGCTCCTGCTGGTCGCCAGGTCGCACAAGCTGGAGGTGGAGCTGCCCGCCGCCGCAGGGAGGAAGACCGGAGAACCCGGGGCGCTGCCTGTCGCGCCGCCCCCGCCGCCTGCGAGCGCTGGGGACGTGCTAGGGCCGGGGCGCGCGGGCGGACTACTCCCGGGGCTAGCGCCCGGACGGGGCCGCTGGCGGATGCCGTCCAGCAGGCGCACCAGCAGAATGTTGGCGGGCAGCTCGTCCACGCCGCAGCCCACCAGGATGCGGCACTCGGGACAGCGGAGCTCGTGGCGGGAGCACACGATGCTCTCCAGGCAGCGGCGGCAGAAGGTGTGCTGGCATGGCAGCACCTTGGCCGTGGTGTCCAGGCGCTCCAGGCACACGGAGCATTCCAGCAAGTCCAGCAGCGACGACTCGTCCATATCCTCGCCAGACCCAGGGTCGGCCGGCCGCCGCTGCCGCCGCTCACCCTGCCTGTCGTCGCCCTCGCTCTGCGCCGGAGTGGCGGCCGCCTTGGACGCGCACAGCCAGGACGCTCCTAGCAGCATGGGGGAGGCGCCGGCGCGGGCCGCTCGAGCTCCTAAGTCGGGGAGCCGGAGCCAGGCCCGCCACGGGCAGCGGGCATTAGGACCGAGCCCGGGCGGCGGGCGGCGGAGAGCAGGGCTGGGTCCCTGCCGCGCCGACAGCCAGGGGCGCTGGCGCCCACAGTGAAGTGACGCGCCGCCCGGCCTGCGTGGCGGGCAGCGGAGGTCCGGGAGCAGAGGCAACTCGCGAGCCCTTCCGGACTACACCTGTCCAGCCGCGCCGCTGGCGCCCAGAAGCCCCGCCGCGGAATGTGCGAGGAGCGGCCGGCCGGGTCCCCGGGGAGGCCGAGGCGCGGCTTGCGCGCTCCCCAGTGCCGCAGGCGAGCCGCACTGCCCCCTCGGCGTCTCCATGCGCCCCCGGGCTACCGGGCTGGACCTCTCCCCCGGCGAGCACGTGCGCGGGAGGAGGGGAAGGTGCTCGGCTTCCCCACGCACGCCCTCCGGCCACCTCCGGGGCTCCCGGGAACTTCTGCGCAGGCTTGGTCCCCTGGCCGCTGGACGCCGGACTCGGTTACTCCGCGAGCCTCAGTGAGGGACGATTCTTCCCAACGCCGCGAAGGAAAGTTTAGAGGGCGTTATCCCGACTGCTTTCTGCGCCAGCGCTGGAGAGCAGCCTGGGGACACAGCCGACGCCCAGGCATCCTCCCGGACGACTCCAGGGAGCACTCCTGGTCCAGTCCCCGCTCCTGGCGGCGCGCAAAAGTGACAGCCGCGGGTGTGGGTGTGGGTGTGCCCCGTGTGGCGGCAGGAAAGGTGCCGGGGCTGGTGGGGCCCCCGGGCCGCGCTGACTCCTTCGGGGTACAGGCTGCCCTGGCCAGAGCCGCCTCTGCCCAAACACAAGCACCCTCTGGCGGGCGCCCAGTCCCTGCCGCGCCCCTGGCGGCGCGCGAAGAGAGACCCAGCACCCGCTCTGGCGCGCTCTGATGAACCCAGCTCCAGATTTTCCTCTCGAGGCACGAAGGAGGGGAAATTCGCGCTCCTTCCCGACGCCCCGGCTGGTGGGAGCGTCAGAGCAACGGAAATACGTCCACAGGGAAGTTCAGCGGTGGGCTGCGGTCGGCCTCCAAGATTTCCTGCCGTGCGCTGCCCCCTGGTGGCCGCTTCGTGCTCCCAACGCTCCGGGCTCCCAGCTCCAGCCCTGCATAGAATGAGGTTCAGAGGGTTGGATGTTGCACAGCCACTTGGTACCAGGGCCAACATCTGAAGGGGTGTGCAGACACCCCTCCTAACTGTGGGGTTATGTTGCTTGTGAAGCAGAGTGTGGTATTTTCAGATATTTTAATGCCAAGATAGTGCCTATGCCGTTATTTTATTGAATGCTCTAAACAGCCCTGTGAAATAATTATTTTAACTACACGTGACACACTAGGAAAGTGAGACTTGAGCCATTAGGACTTAATTTTGGTATCCACAAAGACCAGATGCCATTAAAATACAAGCTGTCTATATAAGTTATGGCTTTACAGTGTAGCCTCTTCAGGGCCAGGTACTCAGCAGTGGTTGAATGACTGAAAGAATACCTTGGTCTCATCATCTCATGGTGATCTGAATGCAAATCTTAGTGCCTGAATTCCAGATATCCTGAATTGCTAACAGGCTGTAGTCCCCGGAAAATTTGGAAACCGGATAGTTTTCCCAACCTAGATGTGTCTCAGCAGTATGGATTTCCATGTGTATCATTTATGTCAATACTGGCAAGGGTGTGAGATGAAAGGAAGCCCGGAACTCACTGGCATCCCACCGGACTGCTGTTAAAAGAGAACGAGGGGGTTGGGGGAGAGACAGACAGACAGACTGAGACCAGTATACAAAGAATCTTTTGCTCTCAGAACTTTGCTCAGGAACACCCAAAAGTGAATTTGTGAGAGGAACCAGAAATCAGAATGCTTGATCAGGGAGTGGTGGTCAGGCATGAGGACCCCTTCTGGTACAGGGTGGAGGAGAGACTTGCAGAGAGCAAGGATTGTCTGTGATGACACAACCTAAGTACTTTTGAGTGCAAGCAAGAGAAATCAACCTTAGAAGTATCTTAAATGAAACAGAATAAGAGACATGAGGCCACAGACTAAGAGCTGGGCCGTGCAGACTGAGTTCCCAGTGAACCTTGTTCACAGTGAACAGTGAACCTTGCTTTTCCCTTTATTATGTGATGACTCCATCCTCCCCCAACCCTGAACCAGGTACCGCATGGCAGAAAATGTGTCCAGTGTTTGCACTGAATCCAACAGCATAACATCAATAGCATCAGAGGGGTGTCAGATACTGTTGTAGGCTAGCTAGGAGTTTGAGAATTCTACCAGAAATCTGGACTAGTAGCCACTCGCTATGCCACAAGCAAGATCATCTGAAAGCTAGATCAGAAATTATATGGAAAAAGAAGTGGCATTTTCCAGAAGTGGCCTGCTGGGCAGACGAGCACATGCCCAGTCTGGGATCCCAGGACCACAGCTCCAACCTCAGAGTGCTTCATGTGCAGCCAAAGCCAAGAAGAGTAAATGCAGATCTGCTGAACCCTATGGTGCCTGAACTTCCTGTGCTTCCACTTTGTCCCTTTAGCCCCTACCAGTCCTTCGACAATACTCCTATAGTTCTCTCAGGCTCTGAAGCCAAATCCACACAGATGTTGCACCGGGCATGTAAATCGGTGAAGTAACTAGGTTCAGACAATAAGGCATAGTGGGGACTGGTGAGCTATCTGTAGCTTCTCCAAGGAAAATTGATCCTCGGTCCAATCACTCAGTTACTGTTCTGAAGAGCCGATGCCCAAGTATATCTTCCTATCATTCAAGAGAGTTGCAAATCTTACTTCTTACAAGATCTACCTTTCAAGAGAATTGCAAGTCGTACTTCTTATATCTCCTGGTATTCAACAATTGACAACCAATTCTGCTCTTTAAGAAACACCAAATTAAACAAAATAAATATGTAGCTAAATTGTCCAAAAGACCACCAGTTTGAAATTTTTGGTTGAAGGGCCAAGAAAACTGTGTAAAGAAATTTAAGGGTGTGGACTAAATAGTTGAAGTATTACAAATACAGTTTTAGGTTACTCAGTTAAATTTGCACATGTTCAATAAGCCAATTATGTAAGTAAATGATGGAAGACCTGGCTTTACAGCCATTCATCTGAAAAGATCTGGGAATTCAGTCAACCACAAGCATAATATGAGCCAGCATGCATCATCCATGTAGCCTTGGCTGCGTAGGAAAGTCACGAAATCCTCAGATGTCTGAATGTAAGTTAACAGGCTGGGATATGGAAAGAAATAATCCCATCATACCTCAGGCTTGTCAAACATCATTTGCAAGATTACTTCCAATTCTGGGAACCAGAAGTTAACAACAGAGTGGTAAGGGATCTGGAGGCTTTAGCATGAAGTTAGGATAGAGGAATAGAAAGCAACTGCAGTAGAAAAGACAGCTCAGAGGAGGTGGGAGGGCCAGCTGTGCGTCAGGTTTTTGGCTACCCAAAACTTGAACTCTCTTACATTCTCCACTTGGTCCTAGTGAGGAATTTATTTTTCCAGTGGAGATATGGAAATGTGACTTAGGCTCGGCCAATCAAAAACTGTGTCCCCAACTAGCCTTGCTCCAAGAGGTGCCAGGATGCAGCCCGTAGAGCCCCAGACAACACGGCAGGTGGCCAACAGCGGCAGAACCCACAGTCTGTGGCCTGCTTGGTGGCAGAACCACCACGGCATGTCCAGGCAAGGGCAGACTCAACTCTCAACCATCCCAGTTTGGTGAGTCTAAGCTACGGCCTCCACTATTCTGCCGGCCTTATTGATCCTATGAGTTTCACTACTTTATTTAATCAGTTCCTTTTGTAAAATCAGCTCAACTTGCATTTTGTTGTTTGAAACTGAGAATTTTAGTTAACACATGTTATTTATTATGAGTCAGAGATCGAGGAAGGTACGCAGCATGAGATATCTGTCACCACACTGGAGTGCAGCAGTAGCCCTTTGGCCTTTCTGCTGGAAGGGTGTCCAAATGAGCTACTTGGAGCACCATCCACTCAGCAGCATTTCCTGACAGTGTTCCCCACTTGGGTAGGTGTGGGGTGAGAGCAGAGCTGAGGGCAGAGTAGGCTGTGTGGCATAGTGAGAGAGGCTTGTCTCTGGGGCTTGGAGAAGATCACAGAGTGGCTGTATCTTCCACAGGTGGGAGGATGAAAACGTTTCACCCTTAGAGGTGGCAGGCCTTTGAAATCACTGAGGTGAGATAACATATTGACAGAAAATTTTGTTTCATCTTGTTGATTGTGAGTATGGTGGTTAATTTAGATGTCAAGCTGACAGCGTTGAGGAATACCTAGAGAAGTAATAAAGGATTAGTTCTGGATGTGTCTATAAGGGTATTTCCACAGGAAACTGGCCTGCAAGGTAGTAGACTAAGTGAAGACTATATGCTTCTATTTGGGCAACATCTATTCAGCTAGGGTACCAGATTTTTTTTTTTTTTTTTTTTTTTTGGTCTTTTTGAGACAGGGTCTCCCTATAGCCCCAGCTGGCCTGGAACTTGCACCAGGCTGGCCTCAAACTCACAGAGATTCACCTGCCTCTGCCTCCAAAGTGCTGGGATTAAAGGCAGGCACCACCAAGCCCAGGATACTGGATTTCTTTAAAAGGAGAGAAAAAGGGACTCCCCACCCCTCCTTTCCTGGAGCTAGAATGCTCACCTCTTCTAGCTCTCAGACATCAAAACTCCTAGTGCTCTGGCCTTTGTACTCTGGGACATGTGCTATCCCCCAGAGTTCTCAGGTTTTCAGCCTGAAACTGCAAATCGTACCATCAGCTTCCATGGATCTATGGCCTTTGGAGTTGGACCAAGTTACTAGATGAAGGCATCCTTGGGTCTCCAGCTTGTAGATAGCCTGCATGATCTGTTTTCCCTAATGAATTCCCTCTAAGTTCTCTCTCTCTCTCTCTCTCTCTCTCTCTCTCTCGCACACACACACACACACACACACACACACACACACTCACACT